GCAGTGGAAAAGTAGAATCGCTCCCTACTTTTTATCTGTTCGCGCGAATACATTCGCCTATAGTGGAGAACCGGCTTAACATCTGAGCGTGTTTTAATTAGCAGAAATTGAAGGAGTTTTAGAAATTGAAGGATAAAGTTTTAATCTATTGTAATTGTGTGACGCCCCTCACGAAAACCATCGACAGATGATGAGAGCAGCGTGGTTAAATAAAGTTTTATTGATTGATTGATTGATTGATTGATTATCGTGTATTCCCACATGATGTTCACCTGGTAACCTCGTGTACCCCAGTATGACGTCATTGGGGGCAGCCCTTTGTTCGCTATATGGGGGGGTAATCTACTACTTCTTATCTCGTTTTAAAGCCCACACAGACCGGACGCGATTTGGCAAAACAGCGATTTTTGAAAGTTTTTCATTTTTCAAAAGCTAATAAAATTTAAACCATCATTATATTCTTGTAGATTACTTAACAATAATACATTTTGACTACTCTGGCGTCCATATATTCCAACTATTGCTTCCAGAAATTAATTTATGAGCTTGCAAAAACTGAAAATTCGCGTTGCGTTGCCGAATCGCGTCCGGTCTGCGTCGACCTTTAGGCATAGCAATATTAATACACGAACCATACGCACAACACGTTGAGTATTTTATGTCATATGAGATAAGAATTTTTATGAATAAATTCAATAAATTTGTACCTATATAGGGTGTATAAAAAAAGTAATTCAACTTCAACGAGATATTGTACGTGAAATTTTTACACATTATGAGAGATCAGGTTTCTATCGAATGACATGTCCTCAATACGAAATGGACATAAAATTAGCGAATACGAGATTGGCACAAGACACAAAATGTTAGTAAGATTAGCATATTTTCACTTCTGGGGTCGGTCATTCAATAGCCGGTTAGCTTAACCCTAGGTTAAAACAAATCATATGTAAAAGTTAAAATATTCAAGTTCAGTTAACATAATTTTGACATTTGGTATTGCTCTGGTCGTTTGGGCCCCGAGTACGTTGGGCCCTTCTCCAGCAGCGAACGCTTTCCTTGTTTTAAGGTGGCTCTGGACAGTTTTCAATAATTCCATTGTTCATCACTTTGACACGTTCAAACAACGCATTTTTGTGATTTATTCCAGAGATATTCGGGGTTTTATATATTTTGATGTCTCTACTTTTGAATCGTATTAGTTTTAGTAACAGATCGTCCGTTTGCTATGGCGACATACGTGTACAAAATTCACTCCAAAATGACCAATTGCCTCGGATAGTTGGAAAAGAAGCACGGTGACCCCCAATTTTTTTTCGTTCATTATTTTACTTGAAAGAAAAACTAACAATTGGCGAAATATAAAAAAATTCTGTAATGCCAAATTTTTGAAAAATGTAAAAATGACATTTTTTTCGATAATTTTTTTGCCATTATAGAATTTTTTTATATTTTGCTAATTGTTAGTTTTTCTTCCAAGTAAAATGATGCACGAAAAAAAAATGGGGGTCACCGTGCTTGTTTTCCAACTATCCGAGGAAATTGGCCATTTTGGAGTGAATTTTGTACACGTATGTCGCCATAGTAACGGGCGATTTGTTACTAAAACTAATACGATTCGAAAACAGAAACTTCAAAATATATAAAAACCTCAATATCTCTAGAATAAATCATAAAAATGCGTTGTTTGAACGTGTCAAAGTGATGAACGATGGAATTTTTAAAACCTGTATCGAGCCACCTTAAAGATTCCGGCTTTTTTCATCCCTTGTTTTAAAGATTCCGGCTTTTGTCGTTCATTGTTTTAAAGATTCCGGCTTTTTCCATTCCTTGTTTTATCGTTCCCCGTTCCCTTCCCCGTTCCCTTCCTCGATTCCCCGTTCCCGGTTTTAAAGATGGCGAAACACTGATGTTATCTTCGGTAGTTTCTCCCTCATGTGTTTCGCTATTGTTTGATGTTTGTTTGAGACAAAGGTGGAAATGCCCAGGCCTTCATCTAGGAGAAAGTTCAAACATCTTTAGAACCCTTCAAATTTCATTGCAGGGCTGCTTCAAACTTCATTTCTCTATAAAAAACTCGAATCAATTATATGAACAAAAAAGAGCACTTGAGTTCTTTTAATTGATATATTACCTGGATCAAACTAAAATCAATTATTTCAGCTGACGTACAACAAAATATTGTGTAAGCACCGTATTTTGCACTATGCCCCATGCTATCATGCCGTCCATCACCAGAAATAACCAAAGATTCCAATGCTTGATTCCGATCCAGAATCTTTCTTCGGTAATCTTCCCAGTGAAATATATACAGGGTGTCTCAAAAAAAAACGCAACCACTTAAATATGCAAGAATATTAATATTGTTCGGGTTTGCCCCACAGTTCAGCTAAAATGAGTTTTAGCATTTTAAATGAAGGATTAAGAGCCATTTTCAATTCCCAGAGGTGCTTATCTATTGCGCTTTAGAGCTGTATTAATGTTTTGCATATTTAAGTGGTTGCGTTTTTTTTGAGACACCATGTATAATTTTATATACATACCCCTTGGTGTCTATAGTAAGATTCATTGCACATTCCAACAAGTCCCATGTGTCGAAACATGTTGAGAACTTTAGTGGGTGATCCTCCAGATACAAGAATAGCGAAACTTAGCAGGAAATCGCAAGCGTTCGGTTTTGTCGTAGGCATCAGTGGTTGACTTCTCCATATATTTTTTTTTGCTATAAACGGAATTAGCACAAGTTGTGCTCACAATTAGCAGGGTTCCATGACTTCCATCCGTTGTGCATGGTTTCAACAAGAGGGTCATCTGCTTTGCAATAATGGCAAAACTTAAAAAGCAACAGCAACTGTGACAGGAAAAGATGTATTTAGGTTGCTGGCGTAGATTCTCAGTGGGATTATTAAACGTGAGGAGATTTATAGTTATATCAATATACGACCAATGCAAAATCACAGGATACTCCAACTTTGTACTAAGCTGACCTGCAAGCCGAATATTCAGTCTGTGCACTCTATATTTAAAATATACCTGGTGTCTTCGTCTCCTAATTCCGATTTTTCAGACTCGCTTTCATCTCCGCATTGGAAATCCTCGTCGCTGGTGTCCATATCATCTCCTGTCTCTTCAATACCCGGTTCGGGTTCTGGAAGTGTTGGGAGCATTTCAGCACGGCTTGGTTCTTCCACTTTAATTTTAGTGTATTGCACTGAACACCTACATAAATTGGAACGTTTGCACTTGATGAATAGATCATTACTTACAGTGCGCAGGGAAAGCCTATATATCCTTTATTTACAAAGGGGTATTACTATAATTGTACACTGATCTATTTCGCTAGAATATTTTTAATTGAATATACATATAGTCACAACATAATGCGTTTTATCAAGATTATTAACATTATATCTAGACTTGCTACATGTCGCCGGTTGTAGTACGTTTGCATAGTAAGTCTTCCGCTTTTCTTTTAGCAAGTACGCACAACCAACACAACCGTCTGTCCCAGTTGAAACGAGTTTGTCTAAAGCAAGAAGCCAAACAAAAATGTAGACACAACGGGGCCCGAAATGTTACACCGAAATATATTTGTTTGTTAAAACTTTATACGTACTTCGTTCGAAGAAGCGTTTTTTGGCAGTTCTTCTACAACATTTTGTGTTCAAATGGGTCTGTTTCGTGGCAAGGTTCATCCGACTCTTCGCCTTGGGTGGTCACAATTCCAGACAACGCGACGTATAATCGTATTTATGTATTCAAGTCGCCGACAGAAGAAAATTGCACTGTGTCTAAGAAACAGCAACCATAAAAATTATTCTTTACAATTAACAATCAACGATGTATGCGAACTTACCATTCTCCTAGCTCTCGCAGATGAAGGTCTGACCTCTGCAGTTACTGCGTGATACTTAGGGACTGCCACTACGCCAATTCATCGGTGGCTAACTGTGGTACTTTTCCAGAGAAACCAGAAAACATTTGTCGGTAAAATTTTTCGTGTCAAAATGCGCTGAGCAAATACTCAAATTGGGAGTCGGATCCCATTTTGGCCGCTTTAACCGCACGAAATAAATCCACTGCTTTCTTTTCTTTTTTGCTTCTTGCCTTTCGTCGCCAGAAAACGGTATAAAATGAAGGGAAATTCCTTTCTCTGCATTAGAGGTATTACGGAAACCCCCGACAATACATCTATGCGGCATATTTTTATTTGCGTGACTCTTTTGCGTCGTCACCTTTCTTACAACAACATCTGAATAATACACGCTAGTGACTTTTGTAATATGAATGAGTCAAACTGGTTCCTATTGTGACGTCACATCAATGATTTTGTACCAATCCTTTTTGCGCGTTTTTTTTTCCAAATTCTCTGTTTAAGTGGCAATAACTTCTAAACTAAAGTCGCAATTGCAATTCGGTTTTCGAACAGCATATACACTGCTAATAAAGATTCTAAAAACTTCCATACTTTTCTTATTTTTTTTCTCGCATAAATTTTCTAATTACAATCATTTGTCTATCAACGCACAGTAACAGACAAATCTGATTGGACGGAGCAGAATGGATAAATCTCGTATCTTTGTGCGCTCCAAAGGTATACGAATTCTAAACGACGCTCATTGGCTAATACAAGCTCTAAAAGGATACGACATTTTAGCCGGCATTTTTTACAAAATGGCGTCGAACAATCTGAGTGTAGATATAATTTCAGACGAAGAATTAGCGCAGAAAAGACAAGATTTGCTAAATAAGAACACGATAAAAAGTGAAAGCAGTGCAAAGAGAAAGTTTGAGGTGTATTTGAAAGCTTGCAAAGTAGAAAAGTCCAATCAGATTTGTCTATTACTGTGCGTTGATAGACAAAATCCTTGTTCCAAAGGTCTATCGGGGTATACGAGATTTATCCCTCTCAGCATGGTGGCAGAATTCGTATCCCTCTCAGCGCTTCGCGCTTCGAGGGATACAAATTCTGTCACCAGGCTTCGAGGGATAAATCTCGTATACCCCTCAGACATTTGGAATAAGTGTTAGTATTCATTGTATTCATGTTACCATCCCTATCGCCGAGGCGAGGGGTTGGTGCATGCATGTATTTCTAGTACCAGGATTATTGATGTGTTTTATATATGGTGAGGAATTAGAGTGCAATATCGTTGTAGTAAAACGCTTCGTGGATCGATATTTGGTACTGCATAAGATGTGAGGGACGATCGTGATGATCAATTCGAGATAGCCAAGGTTTTGATAGGTTTGTATGAATTTTTGAAGTTTTAGATAGCAATTTAGAATTTTGTGTACATGCATATATAATTATACTTATGTCAGCACCATGTCCAAGGTTGCCAGATTTGAGGTGATTGGTTAAGGTAATGTAGTATTGGTTTTTTCACAGGAGTGTGTCACAAGGTTCGCTTGGCATGTGTTGGTTAATTTTTGTTCTCACTTGTAACCCAGTGTGTCCCAGTAAGTTCTTTATATTTGTTATATTTACTTCTTTCATATTTACTCTTCGATGTTCTCAAGGTGGTATTCAGACACAATGTCAATTGTGGGTGTATATGCTTTTTTATATCTCTGTGTTCAGGGTGGTGTTCTCTGACTTCTCTCTGTGTTCAAGATTTGGGTAAAAACTCAGGGTTTCAGTTTATGGTTTGGGTTGTGGGATGTGGGGTTATTATTTTGGATTAGTGTGGTGTCTTGTGTTAAGTTTTGCTGTGATAAGTGTGTCTCTAAGGTTAGTCTTCTGTTGCTAAGCTGCAATTTGAAGTTCTTGCCATAGATTCCTCACCTAGCCTAACTGGGATAACTCGCTCCATGTAAACAGGCTCTAAGTAGGTTATATTATATATGCTTATGATAAATATAAATAAAAAATTCAAATACCAAGTTAACATATAATTTTATAATAATAATGGAAACTTCATTAATTCATTTGAAATCAATACATATACAATTGCATATCTCACTTGAAAAAGGTAACATGCAATTGGCTACTTGAATTGTGGAATATATGTGTACTTATATGTTTATATAAAGGAAAAGAAAAGGAAGATGTATCCTAATAAATTGTATACAAACTATATTTACAAAATTCATGAGAATGCTGATTAGTAATTTAATAACTGTGGATTAATCAGCTAATCCTTGTTTCTACAGCAAAATATATAATACGTAGACCTGGTAGAGATAGCCATAATTAGGTATTTCTTATGTTTCTCGTCAAATCCTAAGTCATCAATACTATTTCTACTACTACTACTAATAATAATAATATTATTAATAATTAAAAAAAACTTTATTTCAAAAGGGTATTTTCTACATTATTTACATCTTGACATGTATTTTACCAAATCGGCTAATGGCCCTCTTTAGTGTTCTCTCCAGAAAATTATAAGACTGCCGGGTTATACATAAGACTGAAAATTATAAGAAACACATGGGCAAATGACTACATGATTGCAAGCAATGCAGCTAAACTTATTTATATGGTCAACTTTACAATTTAAATCAATAAAAAATGATTAAGATTTTTCCTATAGGATATCATTGTAAAGTCTGGTCATGAATTAAATAAACTTGCTCCACTATTAACAGGGGCGTAACTAGAACGATAATTGGGGGGGGGGGTGAATATTCATATATTCAGTTCTGCCCGACGGATTTCTATTGTAAGCTATTGCAATTACAAAAGAAATCCGTAGGGCAGAACTGGATATATGAATATTCACCCCCCCTCCCAATTATCGTTCTAGTTACGCCACTGCCACTATATGATAACTTTGCCTTCACAGTTTCACTTTTAACGACCGAAATTACCAGGCCTGTCGGACATGATCTCGTGTTTATACTGGAAGTAAAATGTCGAAATCAGAACAAACTTCTGATATCACTTGGTTGAGAAGTTTCAAAGCTCTATTAAACCTTTTCTAAAATTAGTCTAGCCGATCTTTTTTGCATAAGCAATAGGTCATGAATTAGTTCGCGTTCCTTGCATTATCCCATATTGTACAACGATACGTCAAGTGGGGATAAATCAAAGAATAATAGAACTGAATTCGAAATTTAAAGGGTAGAATATATCGGATCCGTTTAAGCAAATAAATTCTAGAATTTCTGATATTATATATGAATTGAATTAATCTGATAATCCCAATTTAAGTTACAGTCAATAGTTGCCACAAGAAGTTTAGTCTTAGTGACCTCCTCTATAATCTTATTATCAAGTTAAATTTCAAGTGGAGTGGTGTCCGGAAATTTCCGCTTGCAATATATTTTATTTCATTTTTTCTTTAATTTAAAATCATATTATTTGTATTTGACTAATGGGCAACGTGGTATAAATCTAGGTTTATTTTTTGACTAATCGCATTTTCATCTTCTCCGCAAGAAGAAGAGGCAAATCATCAGCCAATAGAAATGGTGCGCTTACCTCTAAAGTCATAGCCATGTCATTTATAAATATTAAAATTAATAAAGGCCATAGAATAGATCCTTGGGGGATACCTACAACTTTTTGTTTGGGTTGGGATAACGCACCATTTATTTCCACTCTTTGAGTACGATTACATAAATATGATTGGAACCATTTTAAAACAGATAAAGAAATTCAATAATTAAATAACTTCTTTAATAGAAGTATATGATCGACTACATTAAAAGCTTTTGAGACGTCAATTAAAAGCATACCGTTCATACCACCTTTGCTGAGTTGTAGTATAGGAGTGATTCAAATACATACTAGTGTTAGAGTCGTTTCACAGGATTGTTGGTTATACTATTGTCTCTGCATGATTTACTCTCGGACTTAAGAGTTAATATATGTATAAAATCAGCACAAAGCGTTGTCTCAGTGACCCAACATCACCTTATGCGAATAATATGTAATATTATACACATATTATACACAGTTGAATCAGTACTTCTAACTTTTAGGAACGCTACATCGCTATAGAGAAACCAAAAATTTGGGGCCCCGCGCGAAGAAAATTTCGCGGGCCCCTTGGTGTGTAAATGCGACCCTGTTTTACGGCTACAACACGAACGGTCGCATTTATGTACATTCACAGTTGGAACGAGAAGCAAAAGCTGAATTTAGCGCATTAAACTTGGTTGAAGTTGATATTTGAAAATATTGTCAAAATATATGCAGCATGAAAAGATGAATAAATGAATAACAACACTGTTATGTTCAAAGGGTTATCATAAAATAACGTTAAGAATTCAAGCAATTTCATTGGGCGACAGCCATGATCTATATATAAGAGGACAGACGCACGGAATAACGTCACAAAGTCTATAGGACCTGTAAGGCTGTAAAGGAGTTTGTATGCATTTCATTTAGGACAGATTATCTCTACTGTTTTAGGGTAAAATGACCATGGCAGTTAACATGGCATATATGCCAAACTCTGAATCCGGGACGAAAGTTCTGAAAATGACCACACCTAGAAACTGCTTAGTCGACATAGCTCTATATCCTAAATTATCAAAGCTGTGCAGGCATTCTGGTCACTGGAAGGTAAAATTAACCTAAGTTTCATATTTTACAAGAAAATGAATGTTTACCGTCTCAGGTAAACCGCCAAAACACGATTTCAGCCATATTTTGCGAATTTTGTCATTTTTCGCCGTGCATCGCAAGCACTATCCAAATATTGTGCTTTACCACGATTCTAGTTGACTAAAGATCTATTCAACCAATTTAGATGGGTTTTGACGTAATGCCATTTAATATTTTTTTCAATTTTTTTTCGCTTGAAATTTCATCAATATATCTGCACGATAAATGCCACTTCTTCCCCATTTAGAAGTAAAAAACCTCCCCTCGTTCCTCAGGAGTGAAATTTAAGTGCGAATGTTTCAAAATAATTTAAAAGTCTAGCGAAAACTCCACGACAATTCCTAACATTTTCACGAATACGTCTCTGGTTTATTTTTCAAGCTTTAAGAAAGCGAGAACATACGATTTAAACGCGAAGTTTGTTAATTTTGTCATGAGAAATATCAACAGCAAAGCAGACAAACTTCACTTGGGCTGTTGACATTCGTCGTCCCCCCGTAATGCTGCCCCGCGAAAACTAGTCGCGGAGTTTGCAGGATACTCTGCCGTTTCTGTGTGTGGACATTTTCAGGACTTTCGTCCCCGATTCAGATTTTGGCAAATATGCCATGTTGGCTGCCATGTCCTTTTACCCTAAAACAGTTTATATAATTTCTCCTGAATGATATGCATACAAACTCCTTTACAGGTCCTAGACTATAAGAAAATTTAAACGAATTTGATCACTCATCGCTTGTTTATTTTTATCACATTTTAGCACGTGTCTTAGACTATGTGCACACGAGCGTCGTTTTCGAGCGTTTTCAAAATCGTTTTTATCCAGTTTATCGATTTGACGCCCTGTCCACACGATCCAAGGGAAAATATGCTTAATATGTTAAATTAGCTTCAACTTCTATTGTAAATTGACGGTGTTTGAAACCGTTTTGGCGTAAAAACGAAAATGAAAACGCTCGAAAACGTTACCGTGTGCACATAGTCTTAAGCTAGCTAAATAACATTTCTTCAATCCTGTTGAGTAGGTACGCGTGATATAACTAAAATTTGACGTTAAGTCCAAAGCAGCTCTTTGCAATGAGATGGACTTGGAATTACTTCTAGATATTTCACAATAATTGATTTCATTAAACTATTGTGAATAAAAATAATAATTTTAGCTGAAAATTATTTATGCGGGTTACTGTAGTTCAGAATAATTATATGTTATCAAGTGGTTCCAAGAAATCTTCGAAGGTTTCCAGGAATTACAAAGCACAATATTAATTCGGTTTCGCTTCTTTATTCTTAGCGGCTGTCTTAACCACGACGAAATAATCTAAAGGAGTACCGAAGATAGTGTTAAGCAATTGATTATGAAGGAAATACTGCTCTGAAAAGGTGAGCAGCAAAAGTTGAATACTAAAACGTAATATATTATTGGGGGCTTATGTGGCAATATCTAAGCAAATGTACGACATTGTTTTATCGCTCAAATGTATATGAATCTTCATGAAAGAGCACTGATACAACAATTCGAGGATAATTATTCAACTTATATTTAGTTAACATAGTTTTACGGTACGATCACATTTATGTACATACATTCACAGTCGGACCGAGAAGCAAAGGCTGAATTAAGCGCATTAAACTTTGTTGAAGTTGATATTTAAAAATATTCTCTTATTATTCGAACAAATATTTGTAATAAGTACTTTGGAAATCAAGCCGCTTAGCGAAAGAAGGTTCTACCATCGTTGTCTATTAAATATCAACTCAGAGTGAAACGCGCGGCTACGCGAGCCTCTGTGAATGAAGAAAATGACGGAAATAGTGTTGCCGTTTGTTTGAAGTTAAAAAAATTAACGATTCTGACGTGAGAATTAACCGTATTCTCGACGAAAGTCATACAGAAAAAACAAAAAGTAATATAATATCTAAAACTTTAATGTAATTTATTACAAAATTAACTATATACCTATTTAAAAGAATTCTAAGTAAAACTAGACCAAAATGAACTATTCTAATCACCATACATTTTCAGATGGACTGTTTAAACTCTTTTCGAAAGTCATAATGATTGTTGTTCTTCCTAATTTTTATAGAAAAGGAGTACTTTGCACGTTAAAATCTAAAAAACTTTAAAAAACCTCTGCAATCTTAACATTTAGTCCAAAATCGTCTACTATACTTCAAATTCTTTTCTATAAAAAGGTGATCTAGATCCCCTTACACTCGCATGTACCGATCTTAGAATTTCGAAAGAGATTCTGGTTCTCAACCAAGCTATGACAACTGCATAACGTTCATGATCTCTTTCTGCTAATTTCTGCGCCAGCTGAGTAAGAAACTTGTGGCATTCAGACCCCATTCCGCCATTGATTCCGAAAACAAGTGGGGTAAAGGAGCCCATTTCAACATCTAAAACTCTCTGTTGGTATTTTCTCTTCTTTTCGTTCTCATGTTCCTTAAAAATGTTCTGGGTTGGCCGGCCTTGGTTACAACGGGAGTTTACATGCGTTACTCTTACGTCAAAAAATGCAGTAGCTCCACGTAGCAGGAAACCGTCCGTCTTCATGTCCAATCTCGCTTCGGGACTTATATTGGCCGATCTCAGATCAAATCTCTCATTGTCGAGGGGTTGAAAATGAGGCTCAATTTCCACATTTTTACACTCTTTACCCAGTTGCGCTGTTAGCAAATTACGGATTCCATCGTGCCTTTGTGCCACGAACCCACCCTTTTTACAAGAGAGGGCATGATTGATGTTAAAGCGATCTCCACACGCACAATGACTTGGTAAATCGTTCAAAGTTAAATAATTTGTATCTCATTCGTAACGAGTCTCTGAATTCTTGCTTATTGAGGGCTAGACCTTGATCTTTGAGTGGGATCGCATTTAGCCAGGAACTCGCTCCTTTGTCTCGGGTTTGCTTTACCAAGAACAGTAGGTCTGGAGAAGTGTTGCATCAATGTTATCCATTCTTGACTTAAAAATTTCCGCTTTGTTTGCTTGCTGCATTCGCTTCAGATCATCTATAGACTGCTCTATCGGTTCCAGAGCCTCACTCTGCCGTTTAATTGAATTTACATGTTGATTAGTAAATAATTTTGAGGCTGCATACTGCAAGGGAGCTTCTATTCTCAAATTCAGTACGCCAAATCCCCCTTGAGCTGGCGTTAGGGCCACAAGTTCACGAAGTTCACTCGCAAGGGGTTCTTCTTCACCAAAAAACTGTGGTAAGAGAATGTCATTCAATGTTTCATGTATCGGTTCTACGTACTCTTCGAAGGCCTCAATTGTTCGCATGAAGTAGGTAAATTTTGATTTGTATGCTTTCGTAAGGGCAATGTAGGCTGCATGAGGTTGGCTTTTCACGATTTCCGTGAGTGATGAGATCTCTTGTACCCATCCTTGAATTTTTTCTCTACAATACTCATCTTTATATTCTTTTGATCCTATAACAGTACCCAAATGGCGTTTTCCTTCAGTTGTAATGTTAACTTCTTCTCCAAAGATCTGCTCTGCTTCTTTGGCCAGTTCTTGCGTCTTCACTATCAGCCAACACTTTGGACCATTTACTAGATAACCGTATTTCTTTCCTTCCTCTTCCAAGTGCCTATACCAATTATATAAATGTGTCAATCTTCCTCCTCCCGCTGAGTCATCGGCCAGCCATACTTGTTTGATTTCTGGTATGTTCAATCTCAAACTTTGATTCATTATAGCTGTGTTAATTGAGTACCAGGACATAGCTAGAGGATCCCCTTGGGTAGGGTACCTTCTTGCGACAAAATCTCACCTCCCCCACATATGAATAGCCTGGAGGGGCATCTGTTGGTGTTAATGATGTATATGGACATTCTGTTGCAGGTTATTCGAAGACCGCTCTATTCATTTGGTTAAAAGCATTGTTCGCATCAATTAATAGGATTCCATCAGTCCCTTCTTCCTCAAAGACATGGTTCATGGCATGTGTTGCTGCCTCGGCCCCAGCACTGTATCCTGCACAAACTTGCAATGGCCCCGCTGCTTCCTTTATCTCCTCTCTCAAGAATTAAGTTACTGTCTTACCGATTATTCTTCGCAGCACTTCCCCCACTCCAATTGGTCGAATTCCAGGTTGTTTATCTAGTGGAATTAGTCGACAGGATATGTAGCTTTCTAACAGGGATGCATGGTAACATAATTTCAACAGATTTTTGGTCATCGTTGATATTTCTTCTCATAAGATCTTACCTTCGTTACTGAAATTCTTTGAGCATAAAATTCGTCGATATATGTCTGCGTCCATACCAGACAGTCCAGCTGAGCCCTTGGTTTTAAAATCTGCGTCATAAATCATCTGCTCATTGATGAGGTCGAAAATATTGGACGCGATTCGATCTACGGACCATTTAGAAGGCATTTCCTCTACATCACTGGCTGCCGAGTGTTTCTCTTTCAAAGCTTCCAACGTTTCCGGCGAAAGATCTAGTAAACCCGGGGAGCTTTCTTTATCCAGAAATTTAATCGCCGCGGATAGTTTTCCTTGCATTACCAATCTGGCGAAAACTCTAGAGATATCATTCAGTGTGTGGGGTTTTCTTGATGATAAGAATCGATTATGTATAAATCTCACTTCTTTCATTAGTAGATTCAAGTCCCCTTGCTTCCATAGGGTTAATCTTCGTTTTATCGCTGTGCTGTGTTCTTTGCTCTTTGATGTTGCCGAGGGCTTTTGGAGAATCAAAGATGGAAGCACCATAAAGGCTTTTAATGCAATCGAATTGAGATCAAAATTGGAATTGAATTGCTTTAGCCAATAAGTCAACTCTGCAATGAAATCTTTTCCTGCTCTACCGGAGGGTATTTTAAAAATGTTCCTTCTAAAATGGACGATTTCGTCATAGATTTTACTAATCTGATCGCATAAACTTTGTTGACTAATAGAACCCCACATTTTTTCGACGATTTCAAACAAAAAAAGTTGACTAATGTTAAAATACGTTATACGGCAAATTTTTTACGCCTTCATCGAGTACTTTTACTGATTTATAGAAATACTTTTCTGAGCCTTTGTACAGTGTGTTTGGCCTCACAATATTTTTTCGGTGTAATATATCAAAGCCCTCGGAAAATATCATCACTTCGGGAAATATTTCGCCGAATCCCCTTCACTCCAGCTCTATAATTAATAAAGATTACTCAACAACTGAAAGCTATTCGACATATATTCGCAGTTTGCAGCGTGAACGTCCTGACAAAGATCTGTATTGGGCTTTCCAGGAACCTCAAATCGGTGAAATAGAATGCCATTTTGTAAAATAAAAATACAAATTCGTGTAAATGGAGCGATCGAGCCGTAGAATCCAACAGGTTTTTAAAAAAACATCCGTTGTCAAACATCCAGAAATTTTTCAATATTCCTTATTTACTTGAAAAGGATATATTTTCTCCTTTAAGTCAAATAAAGCAAACCAATAAGAAATCTTTATTTGTCTCTCAGAAGCCAATCGGAAAATTTTAAATTCGGCGAATGAGTCAGACCACCGCAAAGATAATCAGGCAATGATGAACCAGTATTAGCCCTCAGCCAGTCAATCGGTAACGCTTAAATGGCGCAGATAAGTCAGTCCCCCGCAAAGGTGAGTCAAAGTCCTTTAAAGCCAATCAAATGCCTAGAATCAGAAGTCAATGAGGCAAAATTCAAATGGGCTACCGCAATTATGACTCGTCGACTATGATTTGCCGAGGGCTCAAAAGTCAGTGACCAGCAACTGCATGAAGCTTAATAACTTATAACTGGACTGTTGACTTATCGCATGACGCCATTTTCCCGCTGACTGAAGTTTAAATATTTCGACCTGGACTTTGTGCAATTTTTACCATACTCCCCGTGACTCATCTGACAACGTCTAGATCCGCCCATAAGGCAACTTCCTACGTGCAGTCTTCCTACGTGCGCGGACACACTTAAAGGCCGGCCTCCACTTGCACGTGCTATCTCTGCGGCTGATTTGACGCATACTCGGTGACTCAAAACTGGTCGCTAAGCCGGTCGTTACGGCTAATTTTTTGTACATCTGACAGTAGAACTGTAGTCTACTTTCCAGGCGGCCGTCAACGCGGCAAGCCGTACGTGCAATTTCGGCGCGTACGTACGTGCAAGTGGAGGCCGGGTTTAAGGCCCTCTACGTGCGCGACCAATAACTGGCCTTGGGCGTAGGCTGACTAACATGGCCGGTACTTTTGTGCTGACGCCAGATATGGTCTCAAAAGGCCATGGTAATGACCAATTACCACCACGATACGTTGCTTTAAACGCGCAAAATGCTTCGCTCTTCGGCTTTTCTTAAGAAACTTTTTTCTCAATGGAATCTATTATCTTTTGACGTTTATGACGTTTAAGGAACAAAACGCTGCTTCTCTCAGTTTGTGCATGCCATTACTCCAATATCGACTGGCGCTTCTAAGATCATATTTGCTTACGGCATTTTTAAATACAAAAAATGTAGTCATAAAACATCTATTTTGCTTGAGCTTCATCTTATAATGACGGATCAGGATTTTATTTACATAAATTGTAAACACAGTCATTACAATGTAACTCATAAGTGGAGTTGTCTTTGGAATTCTTTGAATATTTTGTCCTAAATTACATGATTATTTAAAATTTAGTTCCAAGCATACCCAATTTTGGTGTGCAGTGATAACAGATTTGTCCTGCAATAAAAATAAAATGGCAGTAATAAAATTTATCGTAAATATTTAACTAGAAATACATGCATGCAGCAACCCCTCGCCTCGGTTAAACGAAATTAGTTAATGATTGTTAGAAATTTTATTTGGTTTGGGGGTTTTGGAGGGTACATGGTATGTGAGAAATAGAAATTGAGAAAAGTATGGAAATATTTTTCTGCACGTGGAAACACTTTAGTCATAGCAACTCGCAACGGCCGTATATTTTTAAAGAATCAAAGTTTACCCTCATATCTTTGTGAAAAAATGGCAAAAATACGACAAGATTCTTACCTTTTTCTGGAAGTTAAGTTACTCATCTATAGTCAGTGTTATGGTAAATTATTTTAATTATTAAATACCATGAAATATAACATCAGACGTCTCATACAACGTTTCGACTGGTTTTTGCACGGGAATGTTTTGATTTTGTTTTCTTTTTGTCATTATGAAAACGGACTTTATAAATAAAATTATATTGTCGTTTATCACATAACACATTCAGATTTATAATGAAATACATTTGAGAATATTAAAGTTGTGTTTGCCACAAAAGAATTACTTTTTAAAGCTGTGCCGGATGAAATATCAAGTGTAAAATCTTCCGACTTCATTAATATACACGGTGAATTGGGTCGAAAATTTGGTCTTGTTATTTGTTAAACCGTGAAAAGTGCTGACCTCATTCGAGTTTCCCTCTAATTTAGTAAAAATACATATATTCCATTTTTATAAAAATATAAATTTGTAAATTTCATCAAAATTTTTTTAAATGACAGTTATTCATTGACGTTTGAAAATACAAATTTTTGTCTCGACCAATCAAGAGCTTAGTAGTTCACACTGGCGCATGCGCAAAACGTAGAAGACCGTCCATGGCGTGAGGTCCATTGCATAATGGCGGACGACTTTGATTTCGCATTTGCACATCGTGGGTGTAAATATCCGAGCGGAATTAGTACCCTCGCACGGTGCTCCGCACCGGCTCGGAGATAATTGATAGAATGAGCCAAAATCTGGCAATTTCAAGTTCAAACTCTTTTCAGAGTGTACTCTCTGGTACGGCTTCATATCGCAATGTTCGATATTTTAATAAAGTGTTCACCAATCCTGCGCTTGCGTTTTCATTTTATTGCGTACCATCTCAGCTTTGTGATTTTGTGTTAACTCAAAGTGGATGGTATCTCTAAAAAAGAGGGTGACGAAAAGGAAAACCAAAGTACATTTATGTCCATCAAATTATTTGAATCCAACGAAAAATTATGACATTGAAATTGGCTAACTTGTTTCAAAACTTGTCTTTTGAAATACTCCTATGTACATAGAGAAACGTATTCAATTAATCCAATCTTCTTTTATATAGGATTCTTTCAGGCCCTTATCAGAAGTTTTCATGCGCTTTAACCGAGCTTATGGCATCGTCTTATCGCACAAGAGAGTTCACTCTCAACTGCGAAAAATGTTCAACAAAACTTGCAAAGAAAGAGATTCTAATGCTAGCGACAATGCCACCATCTCAGTATCATCTTTCTGTCAAAGAGGACATGGAGGTCGAAGCTTATAAAAAGGTTAGAAAGGTAGAAAATTCTGGATCGCGAAAAAGTAGGCGATACTGTCCATATTTAATATATTGCCGCGAGTGTGGGACTCATGTTGGTAATGTGACGCACCTGGCTTCAAAATTGTTAATTTGCTACAAAGTGGAAAATATCGATATCTCGAATGGCGTAGAAAACATAAAAATGGGGAAAGTTTCACGCATGATTGATACTTTTCAGTATTTAGGAATCGAAATGATTAAGTATCTCCCAGATGAAGTCACAGGCAAGTCACGGCAGATTTCGGTACCAATGAAATACTGCGACATTACAGGATTGACTGATACCTCAGAAGCGATTAACTGTTTGACAAGTCAGAATCCAAGAGGATACCAGCGTGAATTATTTCTGGCCGTCATGCGTGGGAATACGTTGATCTATCTTCCGACAGGATCCGGCAAGACTTTAGTTGCTGCGATGGTGTTCAGTTGCATGAAACAACTTAATCCCAGCAAGTTGATGGTGTTCCTCGTTGATCGCGTACCGCTAGCTTATCAACAAAGTGCATATTTTAAATCTCAGCTTCCTCATATGGAGGTCCGGACGTTGACAGGTGAAATGATTCCTTTTTTGAAGAAGAATGTGTATCAGGGTTTAGACGAAGGTACTGTCGATATCTTGGTTCTTACCCATCAAATATTACTGGATTCATTGGAAAGCTCCATAATCCTACTTTCCAATATTTCAGTTCTCGCGTTCGACGAAGCGCATCACTGCAATGGCAATCATCCTTACAATAAAATCTTGAATACATTTTACGACAACACACCTGATTCGTTCAAACCTCTTGTATTAGGATTAACCGCTTCTCCTGCTGGCGAAGTTACAAAAGAAAGAACAATTGAGAAGCTCCAAAAGTTAATGAAAAATCTACATTGCAAAATTGCGATGCCTATCAAATCAGGCGATTTGGTTGCCCATGTCCACACTCCAGATACGAAATACGAAGACGTAACTACCACTAACACCCGCCAAGTTATTTTCGAAAAGATCATCAAGGACCACATTGATCACATTGTAAGAAGCCATATCGAATCCAAACAGGGTTTTCAACAGTTACTTAAAGGGCTTCCACCATTTTCTAGTAATTTCAGAGGTGCTCTGAGAAATTTAATAGAAAGATGCCAAGGCGATAGTTCCACGATAACAGTCTTGATTGTAGCGGAGCACATAATGCATCTGCTGGGTGTTATTGAAGTGGGCCAAATACTCTCCTACAGGGACGCATTGACACACCTCAATTATTGCATAAACAACATCGTTCAAGGTATTTCTCCTACCCAAAGTGTCCTAAAAGATTTGTTTGGAACCGAGGGTCCGTTTCATGATCTGAGAAAACACACTGCCGAAAATGTCGATGATGACTGCCTTATGTCAGACCGATTCACACGCCTTGAGAATCAGTTACGTCAGTTCATTTCTCGAGTCAAAGAGGACCCATCTTCCAGGGGAATTATTTTTGTCTGTATGCGCAAAACTGCTTACAAACTCTGCCAGAAAATCCGAGAGAATGCAGAAGTATGCAAAATTTTGAATCCTGCTCCATTAGTTGGTCATGGAGATGGGAGTTATGATGGAATGGCGTGGAAAGACGATCAGGAAGTTTTATTGGAAGAATTTAAATCGGGAGAAGTTAAATTACTTGTCACTACAAGTGTCTTAGAAGAGGGATTAGATGTTCCAATCTGTAATTTTGTCGTCCGCTTTGAAGGGGCTGCAACATTGCGCGCGTTTGTACAGTCTCGCGGACGTGCCTCGCGCAGGCCTGGAAGTCACTTTGTTGTTATTTGCACTGAAAAAGAAAAGGATGAAGCAATACATTTACAAGAAAAAGAAGAAAACATGAGTGACGCAGTTGCGGATATTATGGACAAGGATAACTCTAAATCACAAGCAAGAGAATTCAAATGCGATATAAAACCGCCAGATTTTATCTTACATGGATTAAGTGGAAGCACAGATACTGAAACAAGCCCTAATTTTAAGCGATACTGTCCCGTTATCGACGTAGTTATTCTGATCTTTGAGAAACAGAAAGACAAAGGAAAAGAAATATCAAGCACTCTTACTAAGTTTCTGGAGAGTGAGTTCAATGTCGTCTCAACAAAATCCGATCTAAGATTCCCTGAAGAAGGACAGTCTGCCGAAATATCATTCATGGTACGGGAAAAGGACCACAGCAACCAAGAATTTAGATCAAAGAATGAGTTCATTTGTCATGTCTCGAACGTGTGGTGCAATATCCCAATAGCCTTGCCAATGGTTTGGCTGCATCCTTTACTGCCTCAAACTTCTCGCAAACACATCGAACAGCTTCATGTTCTTCCAGCGATGACTTTTTTTCTCGGTACCTTTGTCACTCGATCTCAGTTCCAATGCGAATGGCCCAATGATCCAGTATTCAAAGATGTAAAATTGCGTTTTGATCATATCTTCAAAATGTTAACGGTGTTCTTCGTATTTGAAAGACTCCATTTCAAGTTGGAAATTAGGTATGAAGAATTTGAAGATTTTCTTTTGGTCGATAGCAGCGGAACTAATGAAGAAATTATAAGAATTTTCTTCACGGTGAGACACCCTCCCAAGTTGTATCGATCTATTCAGAATGACGATGAGATTGACAATGGCAATGACAATGCTATCAATAATAACAATCCTGGAGATGAGGGTATTGATGTTAGCAACATGTCGGATAGCGACCCAGATGGATTTTCTACGGATGACGAGTATCCAGACATGGTAAGAAATTATCATGATCGCTCTGTACCAAGTTTTGCAGATGATGATAATTACTGGGAAAGAGTAGCTGATGTTGCAGTAGGTCAGGATGAAGAGTTTGAAGCGTGGAAACAGTGCTTTACATTCTGTTTCAATATTCCTCCCGAAGAGTACATACTTCTAAGATCATTGCTGAACACGCTTGATGCCAAGTTAGGGAAAAAAGCTTTTTATACCAAAGTAGAGAATTCTTATGGAAGCCTTCCAAGCATCGATATTTCTAACGTCATCAATTTTGATATCCGCTACACATTGGAGAGTATATTTCGATCGTACCCTTCGGTTCGTGGAAGACTCGATGATTGGGATCTTCTTGATGAACTATTACGTAATCGAGATCCGCATGTAGTTGCGACTTGCCTCGATAAGCTACGTAAAGCTCTCGAACGTGACTCTTTTTGTGACGCCCAGCAAACCCTACATAGGCTTCTGACTGAAAATAAGCAAAATGTGTACAGAAAACACCAAAATCAAGTTCCAGGTCATTGTGCTTTAATCAAACGAGTTATTATTACACCAACCAGGATTCTTGTGTATCCACCCGAAGTAATGGTGAAGAATCGCGTTCTGAGGCATTATGAATCGGACGACTTCCTTTGCGTTAGTGTACGAGAGGAGGATCTTTCCAAACTTTCAATGGGACGGGGTAGTATTGATCTATTGTTAGATTCGGTCAACGAAATTCTAAACAACGGCCTGAATATCGCAGGAAAGGCGTTCCAGTTCTTAGCCTCTTCTAACAGTCAGCTACGTAATCATAGTTGTTGGTTTGTTGGGCCCAGTTTTCAATCGGAGGATGTACGACGATGGATGGGAGACTTTAGTCATATAAGGTTAGAAAAAGTATTAAAGCATATAGGAATATGAGTTGTGTCATAAAAATTGATAACAGAGTCGGAGAGCTCGTAAATTATATAGCTGCTTGAGCAGTATTTCAACTGAGAATATGTTTGCATACATATCTTATTCTATATGAGAATGAAAAACTAACTGATAATATTTTTGCATACATATCTTATTCTATAAGAATGAAAAACTAACATGAAAAGAACCAAATATTGAACTATATTCTCAAAACTTGTTTATAGCTGTGTGGCGACTTATATGGCACGAATGGGGCAATGTTTTTCAACATCGGTGGACACCGTAAGTGTACAGACTCCGGAGGAGGAGATGTATGTGGAAGAAGATGACGTGAAGACAGCTGACAAAAAGTATACATTTTCTGATGGAATCGGTAGAATATCAGAAGAGATGGCTGCAGAGGTGTGCAAACAACTTTAATAAGAATATACTTACAGCATAGTTAACGTAACCATAAATTAGCTTTCAGCGGTAATTAGTTTAGACACTCAAATTGATAAACTCAGTCAACTGTATTACATGCAGTATCGGTGACACAATCAAATATATAATATGGTGATTTCAATCAAGTATATGCTTCTGTGATTGGTTTCAGGTTTCAAAAGAGTTGGGAAAAGCGTCTACACCATCTGCGTTTCAAATAAGGTTCGCTGGCTATAAAGGAGTTTTAGCTTGCGATCCTACTTTAGCTGGAAAGAAGGCATCCTTTCGCACTAGTATGAGAAAGTTTGAAAGTCATCACCGAAGACTTGAAGTGACGCACACATCTCGACCACAGGCTGTTTATCTCAACCACCAGATTATTATGCTCCTCTCCAATCTTGGTGTCCCTGATGAGGAATTTCTAGCTTTGCAAAAAGAAATGCTCGATAGACTGGCAGGTAAGTTTGGAGAAAGTGCTGCTTACAGTGTTGCTCATCGCCAGTGATTGTTGTATTTGTAGGAAACAATTAATGGTTTTTTGTAAAAACTCTATGTACGGACAGAAAAAAAAGTCGATAGTGAAATACTTTCTCTCCATTTCTTTAAGAGCGCAATCTTCTTTTAAATACAATATGTCTAAAATCCGTTTTTCGTCGAATGCCAAAGATATAAGAAAATAATTGCCCGAATCGCTATTGAAATTAATATGATTTATAAAATATTTACAAAACCTTCTACATATAATATAAAAATCACACTTTTTGGGTTCATTAAACTACAATTACAATTTGAATTATAGTAAGAATATAATTTTCGGAAATCCGTCCTCACCAATCCATCTTTGTTGCGAAAACAGTCTGGAAAGAATAGATTTAAAATGCTTAGAACTAAGCCAACGTTGTGTCCCCAGGGTGGGAATGAGATTTCCTATAGTCAATACTCGTTAATAAAACATGTTGAGCACAGAGCCCTAGTTGAATACTACATCTACATTTCGAAGCGTCATGTTCCACTTAGGCGCTAAGAAAAGTGCCGGGTATTCAGTCTGAACGCAGCCTGATACATGAACTGTGAGCTACATTATAACAATTAATCAAAATACGTTTTCAATTTTTTCACTCGCTTTTCTAATTTTCAGATATGTTGGTCAATGAAAGCGATGCAATCCCGGTATTAACAAACGGGACGAAAGGGTGTTTATCTTTTCACGCTTTGTCAAATGGTGGAGTCCAGTTGACAACTGAGCCGTTTTTTAAATCCCTCCTCGTGGCTATCTACAGAAATCGCATCCACGATCTCCTTTCCCGTGCTCGAATTCGTTTACCGTCCGATGAAGCACGTTTAATGATGGGTATAATGGATGAAGCAGCTTTATTACAACCAGGACAGGTGCGTTCTCTGAATCCAAACATTTCTTTTACCTATTTTTCATGTAGGTGGTAAGCTCTAGTTTGGAGACTCAGATATTTTAACAAAACAAAAAAAATGAAACCGCTTGGGCAACAAACGAGAATTGCTTTACATAACACTATACCTCACTTTGGCGAAGAGCGTTCTTTTGCCTTTTATTCGCTTGCTCAACAAATATGGGCGGGAAAAAGGAACTGGTAAATCTCATAACTTTACCAGTTTGGTATCAAGTTCTTGGTAGTTTTGTTTTTAGTTTTAGGAATCCCGTAACTTCTAACAGGTGTATAACTATTTTAAAGGTTTTCATTCAGTACTCTGCGGCTTCGGCGGAAGATGATGAAGGGAATGAATTTAATCTAAGCGACAAAAGAATTCTTACAGGCCCGGTTGTGGTCACCCGAAACCCATGTTTGCATCCAGGAGACGTTCGTCAGCTCCAAGCTGTGAATGTTCCAAGGCTTGGTCATCTTGTTGATTGCATCGTTTTCCCGCAACGTGGATCACGTCCTCACCCGAACGAAATGTCAGGTAAAGCAAAAATTATAGCACTGGCGTCAACCAATAATCTTTTAGTCATACAAACGATTTCTTCTAAAACATAACTACAAGGGTTTATACCGTCATCCGGTGCACACTCAAATGCGCGATATATGTCTTTCGGAATTTGGTCGCCAAGTAGTAACATGTACCAAACAATTCAACATCCTATCGGCAATTGTTTTAAATTTTTCGATCGAGAATTTCCATATGCGCGCGGTACGACATTTCCATATGCGGCTCATTAAAATAATGTTGTATTAAGAATTGTTGTCATAAAGGAATTTTTCTCAATTTATAAAAAAAATCGTTATAAAGAAAACAATAATAATTTTTATCAAGTAAATTTCGAGCTCTTTAATGATCGACAGGCGCTTAACAAACAAATGTTGAATAATTATTTTTTGTGACGATTGTCCATCAATTCGTTGGGTGTACATTCAGTTTTTATTAGTCGGATGTCCATTCAGTTTCTCCGGTAGGCAAAAAACTCGGTTCTGAAATAATCCCCCACCCCCCATTCGCCCATAATCAATGTTGCGAAGATTAAACACCTATGACAGAAGGGGGGAGGGGGTTCAATGTTGTGAAGATTAAACACCTATGACAGAAGGGGGGGGTGGCTTGAATAACTGATGATTTCTCGTTAGATAAAGTTTACACATAATTTCGCTTTAAATTACAAGTATCCCAACTACGTTTGAGACTGATTGTATCTCAGAGACAGTGACAAGTATCATCTTGTGTTATTTTTGGCAATCAACTTTGACAATTACATTACCCTACTATAATTAGGGTTGCTATGCTATTCATGGGAGTAACACCACTCTTAAACAAATTTATAGGCGGTGATTTGGACGGGGATCTTTACTTTGTATGCTGGAAACAGGGTCTGTTTCCAAGCAAGCCTGATTTTCCACCCATGGATTATACGGCACCGGAAAAGAAAGAGGAACCAGAAGAAATTACCTCGACTCACATGACAAAGTTTCTTATCGATTACATTCGGTCGGATCAACTAGGAGTAATCGATAACAAACACAAAGCATTAGCTGACCAAGAAGAACTCGGAGTTGAGTCTGACATTTGTCTACATTTGGCGGAGCTTCATTCGTTAGCGGTGGATGCTCCAAAAACTGGCAAGTGGCCTAAAATTCCGCAAACAAATGTGAAAAAGTATCCAGATTTTATGATGAAATCAGATAAACCAAACTATCCTTCCGAAAACGTGCTGGGAAAGCTTTTTAGGCGTTGCCAGAAGTTTAAAGACACAACATCAGAAAACTGCAGCCAAAAAATGCGAATAGATGAGTCTTTTCTACTACCAGGCAACGACAGGTATATCGTCAAAGCAAAGGAAGTGTACCAACAATACCGCGACAAGTTAGAGGCATTGATGCGACTGTACGGCGTTAATTCTGAAGGGGAAATCTTTACGGGTTGTTTCTTAAAGCTTCGAAATCGTCTGCAAAAGGAAAAAACCAATATTGCCGAAGTTGTCAGTAAGTTACTCCTTGAAATACGCTCTGAATTCCGACGTGAATTCTTTGAAGAGTTTGGCATGGATGAGCATCGTCTAACCCCGGATGCGAAATTATCAAATGAGGTATAATTTTTTTTGGAGGGGGGGTTATCAAATGAGGTATAATTTTTTTTTGGAGGAAGGGGGAAGGGGCTACAAATACAAAAAAAGTATACAAAATTTGCAAACTTTGCATTGCTCTATTTTCCTTTTTTTACAAAATTTTGCAAACAAAATTTTGCAATAATTTGTACTAGACTCGGTATATTCTTTCTAGCTGTGATTACTTTCTTGTTACCCAGATCTAAAATTAGTCTATAGAGCGCTCATGAGGTCCTTTGCCCATCATTAATGCTGCATGGCTCCTTCATGGCTCCTTATACAGAATGTTTTCAAGTCAAACTTGTGGCCTCATCCTACTTTTTTGGCCTCCCCTACCCAAAATTCTGGCTACACCTTTGACTAACACTAAAAGTACTTCACAGAATACACTTATAGCTAAATTATATTTTCGTCATTCTGATCACTAAGACCACAGGTAGCCCGCTATTGGATTTGCTTTTAGTTAAATATTAAATAAATTCTATGCAAAACGACATGAAGTGTCACCTTCCTTCATTCACAACATATTATCGCAGGCGCCAATTCGTGCGGTGCAGTGTAACCTTTATGTATATATTAATATAAGGTTGGCAACTCTTTGTCGTATTTTTACATTTACGAATTACATACACAAACTTACACATGAAAATACTCGTACTTAAACACAAAAATATACACAAAAAACTAAATCTATGTGGGAACTGACTCTCCTAAAACATTTCCGAAACATTTGTTTGTCTTTAAAGCCATTGCAAATATGTGAAATTTACGAAAATACAAACACTTTTTGGTTGAATTTTTTGAAAAGCCGTCGGGATCCCATCACCCTGCCCTACGTCACAGCAAACACGCAATATGATTGGCTTAGTTTTCAATTTTGAAATTTGTTTACGTTAACGGGACTCAACCAGCCAATCATATTGCGTGTTTGCTGTGACGTAGGGCAGGGTGATGGGATCCCAACGGCTTTTCAAAAAATTCAACCAAAAAGTGTTTGTATTTTCGTAAATTTCACATATTTGCAATGGCTTTAAAGACAAACAAATGTTTCGGAAATGTTTTAGGAGAGTCAGTTCCCACATAGATTTAGTTTTTTGTGTATATTTTTGTGTTTAAGTACGAGTATTTTCATGTGTAAGTTTGTGTATGTAATTCGTAAATGTGAAAATACGACAAAGAGTTGCCAACCTTATATTAATATATACATAAAGGTTACACTCAGGTTACACTGCACCGCACGAATTGGCGCCTGCGATAATATGTTGTGAATGAAGGAAGGTGACACTTCATGTCGTTTTGCATAGAATTTATTTAATATTTAACTAAAAGCAAATCCAATAGCGGGCTACCTGTGCTAAGACGAAAACTTAGACTACCTCCTTGGCGCATAGCAATGCTTGGCGGTATCGTAAACATTGTTTGTCTTAATATTTGCATTTCTAACCTCCTGCCAGCAGGGCCGTAGCTAGAAGCTTAATTGGGGGGGTGCATATTCATATATTCGTCTTATGCCCGAATGATTTCTTTTGTATGCTATTGTTCCTATGGTATATAAACATGAATATATGAATATACACCCTCCCCCCAATTAAGCGGTCTAGCTACGGCCCTGCCTGCCAGTCTTGGGAGTGCGTTAAACAATACTCTTAAAACAATAAAAAAGTACATCGTCTATAGAAATTTTAAGAAGTTAAATGAAGATGAATTTTTAAATCCTTTGAAGTCTGAAATCCCTTGGGATACTGCCTTTGTTTTCAAAGACGTTTGTTATACTGTATAATTGCATGGTATCACCTCTTTAATCAGCCGATTAACACCGACTGCTATTGATTAAAAAACGTTTTAAGAACGAGACGCAGCCTACTACAACCACTAAACGTAGAATTTTGTGTGGTTAGCAAAACTTTCTTATCCTTACTCGTCTTATTCGCACTCAGGTTTATCTGAAAGCATCCGCCTGGTACGCAGCCACGTACACACATGAGGAAAACTGGGAACAACTCCAGAAAAAACGTTTTCTTGGCTTACCCTGGATTGTTGACGATGTAATGTCGGCTATGATTACTCAGCATCAGTCTCATTCTCTTGCTCAAAACCTAAATATTGAAGCGGCAATCGGTCAGAGTCTTGTGCGATTGTTCGAAGAAGAAAAGGAACAGCTACTGGAACAGACGAAGGAATCCATTCGAATGAAGAATGCGATTGTTGCTTATCTTCAGACACTTAATCCAGATCTTGTCATTTACTTCACGGGTGCGACAAGAACCATGCTTTTCCAGACAAAGTCACCTGTCGAATTCTGTGCACTTCCAAAAAGTCTAACAGGAATTGACGCTGGGTTTGATAGTGAAATTGGGCTAAAAACTCTTCAACCAATAGTGCGCCATTTGAGAGCTAAAAAAGGCCCTTTTCACGAAGTTTTTCTACTTAACAAAGAACAATTTCCGGTAAGAATAAATTTATATTTCACTATTAACTTAATAACTTTCTTTCCTGGAAAATTCAATGAATAAAATATCTTGACTTATCATCGAAAGTCGTTCATATAAAAGAAAGTCGTCGTTCAAATAAAAGAAAACTAAAGCGTGAAACGTCAAATAGCGCAAAACACGTGATACATATTTGAAGCAAGGTTTATTAATTAAATATTTATTTGAAAAGCTTTCGTCGTTGGACTATACCTGCTTAAAATATTACAGAGCAAAATATATTAGTAACGCGAGCTTGAACGTAATACTAATTTATACAAAATTTTCCAAATTCGCACACTGATATTTTTCACACTTTACAATTTTCGCTACAAATTTTCCCGTTTTACTAATTTTGGGGTGCTCTTTCCAGCAGTATACCTCAGAATTGACGAATTTCCTAGTTCAAGATTTAGTACATTGAGACTGTTTTAAACGTTTGTGTTTTCTTTCAGCTTATCAGTTGTAAGGCGTCCACTGAAAAGCTGAAGAATGAAAATTGGCGTTCCCTTAATCTGGCTTGTGAACTCAGCTCCTCTAAAATTGGTCTTCTGGTTGGCATGGGAATCTATAACTTCATTGAGAAATATCCTCAATTTTTGTTAATATTCCGTGTTATTCAGAAATGGTGTCATGGGACAGGGCTCTACCAAAATAGCGCAAATCCCGAAAATATTTCTAACACGTTGATTATTCTCTTCATCACTCAATGCCTCGATCGGGCTGATATTGAAAATTTTGAAGCAGACGAGCTTTTTCAAAAGTTACGGCGCCTTCAACGTGGAGAAGACACTGATGTCAACTTGTGTACGACTTTTGAAAAAATTGGAACCATCGTGGGGAAGCAAAACGAAAACCAGTTAAATGTTACGAAACTCGGTGAAATGTTATTATTGCTGTTTCGGATTCATGAGATGTCAATGGACATTAGTATTTCGGAACCATTCTCTAGCATTCTTACTCGAAAAAGTATTTCTCAGTTGATTCAAGATGACCGCAATGAACTCTTTCGAGATCATATGCAAAGAGCCTATCAACTGTTAAGGCAGTATGGTGATGTAAAAATCATGCTATCGTGCTGCAGTTCAGAAGAATACAATGTCATCTTTTTATCGCCAATTCTTTCCTTTTCTCTATCCGGTATCGAGAAAAGCAAAGCGAAAGAAATTTCAAGAAGCTGTGGCGCAAAAAGTGTCATCATTCGATCAACTAACACTCGCTCCAAGAAATTCTCGACTTTGGAAGTCAAGGGAAATGAGCCAGCAATACGGGCGGTGCGACGCGAGTTAGAGAAAATGACTGTCCAAGCAGCTGGAGATAAATGGTCTCTCATGAGTGGAAGTTTTGTCGATGGTTCTCATTTAATGCTCTTTGAAGGTAGCAAAAGTGTAAAAGATATCGTGACGCTAACACCATATATTGGACCTTGCAATCAGACGCATGACGGTCTAGCTCGTCATCTCGCTTTTGTAGGAAATCCCGCAATCGCAAATGTAACCAACGACTACATGTTCAATCGCTTTACAGAACGATTTCTACAGCAGTTCCGTTTGTTTCAAAGAGATTTCGATCCCGAGTTACACGGCATTTTTGAATTAGCGGTTCACTTTGGTAGAAAGTATTTGTTTAGTATACCCCATTCATTGCTGGAAGATAGCGAGTCTGTATCCATTGAAATGCTCAAGACTAACAAATTCAAAAAAGGAATCCAGCGAAAATCACGACGTGTGCCAACAGAAATTAACTATGTCGATCAGGAAACGGAGCGTCAGTTGCGGAGGAAAAAAAGGCCAAATAAGCCAATACCCATCGAAGAGAAGAAAAACAAACGAAAACATGGTAAACCTCCGAGAAGTTCATTCTACACAGTTATCCATTCTCCAGACAGGATCAAAGATTTTCTGCGATTTCATGGGTTTCAGACAGAAAACGCTGACTTGATCACGGAAACCTGTTCAGTAAACATCTATCGCGAGGATGTCGAATTTTACGTCAGATTTGATAACGCATTTAGATTTGTTGATGTGAGATTTCCTAATCTTCGCTGGTGCGTTACGGATGTAAAACGAAAATGGAAACGTCCGCAATCCGACAGAAACAGGTATAGTAATTTTAGAATAATCTTAGAAGAAAGTACATACAGTGGCGTAGCCAGCCTGATGATTTTGTCCTGCTATGTAAATTTCGAGTTATTATAGTTATTCATGTCTTTAGAAATCAATTGTTTTCACAGTCAGTGAACACGAAAATATTAGCATAGCGGGACAAATCGACAGGCTGCTTACGCTGCTGAGTACATATCAGAAAGAGTTAGACGGTACAGGTTTTTTTATCCCTATTATTACTAGAAATACATACATGCAGAAACCCCTTGCCTCGGTTTAACGAAATTAGATAAGTATGGAGATGATAACATGATAGTTATGTGAAGGGTACGTGGTATGTGAGAAAAGAAGTATAGAAATATTTTTTTGGCAGTGGAAGCGCAGTAGTCATGGCAACTCGCAACGGCCGTATATTTTCCAAGTTTATTCTTATAAAAAATCGCTAGTTCAAGCTGGAGCGGCTGGAGCCTCTCGAGAAATCTTACTGGGGGGATATCTTACTTAAACCCCTAGGAATTTTCCAGAAGGTAATAATTGCATCAGCCGGCAATGTGGAATCTTTGAAAAGGCATCCTTATATACATATGAACCGGGTTATTAATATTAGTGAATATAATAATGTATCAAACAAGTCGGAAAAGCAATTGCGAAATACAGAATTGCGATCTGCAACCACTACTTCTGTATCCTTTTTATGCATGCAGACTTTTTAGATCGGCTTAAATGAGGTATATAATTAAGATAGCCTAGCCAATAGGAAATGCAATTAGGTTTTCACACTTCTGTGTTATCTAATTAAAGCATGCGGCATGGAACTTTACACTAAACATACCCAATACAGTTATAAAGTCATAAAATACCTGTCAGCTTGTTCATTTTATCACTAGCTTTTCTACCCACAACAGGTCATAACAATTGGTAAATATTTTCTCCGCCTATCGGCCATATAAACCACGACTACCGAAGCAACTATATATCAAGAGGAAAATTCCTATTTAATTGTATATAATGTCAGAAGGTGTTGCTATCTACAGGGTGTCCCAAAAAACCCGAAAACTATTGTAATCACTCATTGTTAAAATTTGAATGCAACTCAGTGAAATGCTAAATGCTTTGTGTTGCTAGAGAAAGGGGACATGTCGAAGGTCATGGTGATTGAGATGCACATTTAAATATTGTCAATAAATATCATTTTCGCGTACGAGCAAATTTTACTGCATCATATGCATGCAAAAAAATGCTTATGGCGAACATTTACACACCTGTGGGTCCCAACAGAGTGCTTAGGCATTCAAACTCTAACAATTACATTGTTATGCGTGATTTCAAAGGTTTTCGTTTTTTTGGGACACCCTGTAGATATCATGTATTTAAAGTTTGAGCTCCCCCCCAGAAGAAAACAAAGCTCTATGCCTATTATATCTATGCTCTGTATCTATTATTTACTCTGGTCAAGAGATTAGTAGTTCGCAATGGCGCATGCGCTCAACGTAGAAGACCAGGGCACTTTGTGTATTCTGCAATATGATCTGCATTTTATACAAACAATGAAAATTTCATTTCGGATTCGATCACTTTTGAGTTCGCTGAAAAGCCAAAAAAATTGCATGCGCTCGAAGAATTTCGCTTTACTTCATGAAAATGTGGGTGAAACATTTCCTGGCTATTCGTCTTAAAATCTATCAATTATAAAGACGCACTTTTAGACTGGACGCGATTCGCTTACTAGTAAAGTACCATTTAAATAACAACAGGGAAGTTTGCTTCAGCACTGCTGTCAGTTGACTTGACACATGCTTCAAGGCACCTTCAATCAATTTGGCTAAATTCTAACTAGTACTATTAATTCCAAAAAGTGAGAGCAACATTGCTGGATTATTTTGTATAATAATATAGCATGATGAAATCCTACACCTTTTGTAGTGCTTTGTCCCAATCCTTTTGGACATATTTTTCAATAAGAGCATGATATTTTTTTCACAACACAGTCTTGCCAGACTTTTATTAAATACTGTTACTTTTGGCTGTATTTTAGTTTTTTATTTGCTGCAACGCTGTTTTAATTTGTATGCAAATAACGCGGAGCAATATTGTACAGGGCCAGTTGTATTTAACTGTGGTAGTTACAGGGGCCAGTTGTATTTAACTGTAATTAATTGCCAGATTTGACAATCAGAGTGGTGTGTTTCTGAGTTAAGTAGGATTTCACTATACAAAATGCAGTTACCTAGAGAGTTTTATTCAACTGGCCCCTGTAGTATAATTGATGAAATATATATTATTTTTACTCCTTTCAACCAATTAGCTTGCAGTAGTTTATCATGCTAACAATGTACTGATTAAATTATTCTTATTCATTTTTCTAGGCCCCATGCTGATAGCGAGATAGCAGCTGAAGTCTCTCTCGAGGGCAATGAAATTGACATGCGTTTCTTACTGCAATCTCATGCTACCTTGCAGTCGGACAAGATATTTGACACACATTACAAGGAGTATGTCGACATACTCAAGGCAGGAACAAATGCTGAGAAGCCATTTACAGTTAAAGAAAATCTTTGGAAGGATGTCAGAATGATTCGACTTTCCAAGTGTAAAGTATTCAAATTATGCGAGGACGTTCAGGATGATTTCTTATCCAACTTAGCAGTTTATCTCCAAGAAATCAAGGAACTCTCAAGGCCGGGTGAGAAACCTGGTGATTTCAAAACCGAATACAGCCGGTGGGAAGTGTCTTTTAGGATAGCGCCTCCTGAGAATTTTGAAAAAAAAGCGTCGCTTAGGAAGTTTCTACGCCGGTTGTGGGACTTCGCTTTTGCGTTATCAAATTCCGCCTCCGAGTTTTGAACACCCCCCATCGGATGCCGCAAATGTGTCTATAATCAGGTTGACATAATATTGTTACGTAAATTTTATTTAGAAATAGAGCGATTAATAAACCTAAACAAGAGAGGATTTTCTCTGGATAAAATGGCATTAATCAAGTTTTAGTTTGAACAGATTGTTTTGTTTGTACGCAAATAACTTTCCGCCATTTTGTTAAATTGATTAATTTAGTTTGTTTTCGTTAAGGGTACAATTTCAGCGGAGGAATTGATGCGCCATGACAGAGCGCCTCATTTTAGACTTCTACTTAGTCACTCAAGTCACTCAACTTTAATACGAGTGGATTTCCAGGAGGGCTGTGTTAATAATAATTAACCCCCGGATAGGCCTGTTAATTATTAAAAATAGAATAATATTTACAAAATATAATAAATACGATGAACTATAGGCATGCAAGTTAATCATTTTGTATTTCTATATGAATGTAAGTTAATAATTTTATATTGCAGTACAACGCTTAAAGTGGCTAGCTGTAGTAGCTTTTTTGGCTTCTGTCGAGAGACTATTCCGCAGATTTGATGCATTATAATTAAAACTCTGTTTTAAGAAATTGGTCTTTAGTTTTGGCAATTTTAAATCAGTTTTACAGTTTTGCAGATGATAATATCCCTCTAAATCTCGGAGTCTTATAAAGTTATCGGTCATTCATCGTTGAGGGTAACACCAAAGGTTTTTACAAAACTTACAACTTCAGTTTTTTTGTGGTTAATAGGAATCGGATGAAGAGAGATATTTCTATATTTGCCTTTCATATATAAGAAGTAATTTCTTAACTCCCTTTTCCTAATTTATTTCAGCCATATTATTATTATATTTAACCAGGATACCCACATCACCTAAAGTGTTTTTTAGTGGGGTCCTGCATGATACAATCATATTACTAATATAATAATTTAAACGTAACTTCTATCATATAGTAATTTTAAAGGAGCTGTGCCATCTCGTGCGCATCTTTCCTGCGCATTACAAAAATGATCGGAAATCGTTCGGAACAAATGCCGCCATACGGATGAGTGAAGCAAAACAATATCGGGAGAATCAATTCCATATATTTGCATATAAGAAAGCACGTTTTTGAAATAATGTAACTGCAAGATGAGTTGTCGTCATGGATTACAAAAGCTGCATGTATGGCCCACACTGATGCACTTATAGGACGCATATAAGTGCTATATAAGCGTGCTATAAGTGCATCATGCAGTGTGGGCCATACGTGTAATACGTGTAAGTCGAATTGTCATATGACTCGGAATACGTGTATGTCGAATTGTCACCTGACTCGGAATACGTGTAAGTCGAATTGTCACCTGACTCGCGACATTCGACTTACACGTATTCCTATAGTCCGCAGGGGACAAATTGAGTTATGCCATTCGTGCAATTCGTTATGCCATTAGAGCATCTTCATGTACATGAAAATTTTGCAGTTTTGAAGTATTCTTAAAATAAAGTGAGAAGAGAGCAAAACGGCTATGAAACCTCGAAAGAGATATCGGCATATCGATATTTGATAGGTCATGAAAGTCAGTTATATTAATGAAATTTCAAGACAAAGGTTATAGTAATTTTAGTCCATTATATAACTAAGATAATATGAAACGTATGAGTGCTGCTATCTGTATACTGCCTTACTCTTTTACCTTTAATAGCTATCTATATCTCGTTATTTCTGGTTATAAGTCAACGCTATCGCCAACGATTTAAGTTACCTTTCTATTGCATGCCAGCTACTGCCGGCTTCGTATATAGTTGGTCCTTGTTTTTAAATTATCTTAATTCGTCAGTTTTATTCCTTGTTTCATGTTAGGATGTAACTGAATTTTTCCAGTGGCGTAGCCAGCTTCGCGATATGATTCCACAGTTCCACTAAGTAAATTTTATAGACATAAATGCAAATATAATTATTTCTATATAGCAACGGATTTTATCGGGTAAAATCGAGTTACAGTTTTACGCCCTTTTATATGTTTTGAACATCTGGATTTTATCATGGCACATTATCGTGAGTTCCTGAGCTTAACCTGAGCAAGATCATGCGCTTTCAGAACCCTTCGCAATTTAGCTACGGTTGCAGCGATACCACTATGTTATTTTTCATGTGCATGATGAGTGATAAGTTTTGAGATCCGTGTTCATAAGGTAGTGAATGTACGTAGGATGCATTTTATCATAGGACACCAATGCTTTATCTACTCGGCCCCCAACTCTGAGGACACCTTCGTCATCTATGAAATGGCTGAATTGCCGTATAAACATATCTTGCTTACAAATAACTATAACCGAAATTCGGAACCCTAATATATTTTGCTTACAGATGTAGAGGGTTCCGAAATTCGAACGCGCTATGTTAAGTACATCGCAGATCGTTGACTCGTTTTTTTTCTAAAAAATATTTTTCATGCAGACAGTCTAATCTTGTCTTTAGAAAATGCAATTTTGGCTAAATCCATGGTTTTGGTTAATTTCACTAATCTGGTTAATTTCTGCGGATAATCATAAGTTTGGAATTTTTCAAATTTCTTTGGAACACGTTCAGTAGCTCTTGTGCACGTATTGAAATTAAACCCAGCCATTGTTCGGGTAAATACATTCAAACAAGACACTCCTGCTGAATATTATACAGCTATCTCTTTGTACCGAGTGTCACAAAAGGCTGTGCAGTGTTAATACCATGCTTAGAAATCAAGAACTATTAATGTTTTACTTCAACGTATTTTATTTCCCTTTGAAAAGTCAATTAAAAAAGTGACAAAGGACAGTGAATGGCACTTGTAGTGTGTTGTAGTGATAAATTATACTGTCAATTACGTCATACTGTGTATGTTCGATTTTTGACTAAGACTGTCAAATGCAGGCCCAATGAATGATATAGTTGATTCGGCCTGTACAGTTCATGGTAATTTTTATCAGGGTAATGATGTAATATTTAATATGAATGATGGTAAACAGTGCATGTGTAGCTATGTCATTGTACGCAATTGTTTACAAAAAAAATTAAATCAGTAAATATTAGAATCGGTCAATTCTAAACACAATTTCAATAAGTAGAAACAGTTTGTATAGTATTTTCAGCCGAAGTGTAAATAAAAGTTATTCATTGCTAGCTGATGTCCTCGAGTTTGTGAAGAGATTTGTTCCACTGATCTCAGATCAGTCGTGAGTTTCAAAGCCTTTTAGATTCACAGGCTACCCACATGTACGCTATACGTACCTCTTTTTATTATTAAGAGTGAAGAGATCAGTCAGAGTTAAGTATCAGATGTTTTGGGCGAAGTTGGAAAGTCGACAACTTGTTTTATTTTAAACTGTCGTTTAATAGATGAGATATCCACGCAGTTAAAATCTCCTACTAAAAGAAAAGAACAATTGGGGGTCACCCTTTGAGGTTGATATATCGCTCCAGGAGCAATTCAAGGTATTCCACGTGGGAGTCTTTCTAAAAGAATTTTAAGCCAAAGTACCTTAAAAGTTAAGCCGATTAAAAGGTTTTAAGCCGATTGAAAGGTTTTAAGACAATTCAAAGGTATCAAGCCGATTTAAATGACTTTTTTGTATTAATCCGATTCAAAGGTATTAAGCCCACAACAATGTGTCTCTTCTTAGATAAATACACGAACTCTGCCATGAGGTGATTGAATGCGATCTTTACGAATTTCTTTGTAGCCTGGAATATGAATGGTGTTATCTGTCATGGAGCCAGGTTTGGAATTGTTCAAATTTCTTTCGAACACGTTCAGTAGCTGTTGTGCACGTATTGAAAATAAACCTGCCATTTGTTTGCGTATTGAACCCAGCTATGGTGCGGGTATATACATTCTGGTAAACATATCAAGCCGATTCAAAGGTATTAAGCCGACAACAATAGGGCCATTTATACGAGTGAAAATAAGCCGCGGCCTAAATAAGCCGCGGCTTAAATACGTCGCAAAGAACTCGTATAAACGGTCTATTTTCAATTAGCCGCGGCATATTTAAGCCTAGGCTCCAACCCTGGGATTATTTTAGCCGCGGCTTGCGAACAAAATGACCGTTTATACGGGCCCTTCACGACTTATTTAAGCCGCGGCTTATTTAGACCGCAACTTATTTTCACTCGTATAAATGGCCCTAATGTATCTCTTCTTAGATAAATGCACAAACTCTGCCATGAGGGGATTGAATGCGATCTTTACGAATTTCTTTGTAGCCTGGAATATGAATGGAGTTATCCGTCATGGAGGCCTTTTCATGCAGTGATGCACATGCACCAAGTCTAGATTAAGGTCACAGACAGGGCTATAATCACATTGCGTTTGTTACCATCAAACAGAGGGGAAATAATTGCCTCTGTTACTAGTAGAAACCCTTTCATACGTAATAGTGATTAAATTTCTGTGTTGTTCGTATCGACCACAACATATCGATTTTCTAAGTTTACTGTTCCGAGTAGTTATTCGTACAGTTATTGTAGCCATTAAACATAGATAGTACGTCTAGAAACTGTAACCATAAGCTTGGTTTTAAAGGAATGAGACTTAAGCTTGTTTACATTTTACGAGTCTGTTTTACAACTACATTTTACAACTCCACAGAGTCATATGATGAAGTAAACATTTGCGAATCATCTGTGTATGGACAGGACACTGTCGATTTCAAGCAGTTTGGCAGAACATTGATCATATAGATTAAAAACAATAGGGGTCCAAGTATTGACCTTTGGGGAACCCCACATTTTATTTGGCCTTTTGCAAAAGAAACCATTATTTTGGCATTGCTTGTATCGGTCTTTTAAGTATGATTGAAACTGAGTTCAACTTCAGAAATCCATATCTCAGTTTCTCAAGCAGAATATCATGATTTAGCGAATCAGTCATCTGGGGGACCTTCCTATTTTTTTTAATCTCTCCGACAAACCTGTCTCAGTAGAGCAAGGCTTTCATGATGAGAGAATATCATTACCTTTTCTAAACATGGTTCCATTGGTAATATTTACACATAGGGTTTTCGTTGCTTTGCTTGGGGATGTTAATTGTCTGGCATATTAATGATAATTTTTTTACGTCAAATATTAAATATATTATATATCAACACCTCGAAGAAATTTGCGTTAGACCTCATATAGGGTTACCTCTCATTAAAAACGAAAGCTAACTAAGATCTGCTCACTTTCCTTTGGTGTCTTTCGCATAAGAAAATCATGAGAGTTGATTTCAAAATTTTGGTTCTCGCGTTTATCGCAATCTACTTGATCGTCGACACTGACGCATGGTTTGGAAGTCGCCGTAGCAGTGGAAGAAGTAGCAGTGGAAGAAGCAGCAGTGGAAGAAGCAGCAGTCGTTCATCTTCTATCAGGTAGCGAAAAGAATTATCAGGCATTCGAAGGTTTTAGGTAATTTTAACACTTTCTATTCTCTTTCTCTTTCAACAGAAGGAGCAGAGGCTGGTCCAGCAGAACACATTCGAGAAGCAGTAGCAGATCCTCCCCAAGGTATCGGATAGGCTTCCTCGATCGGTTTAATTTTCTATCCTAGTTTGCTGGACAGACGTATTCACTAATTCTGCATGTAAAACAAGGTACATTCTTGTGTCTATTTCAGACGCAGTTTCTGGGGTGGTGGACGTCGTTTAAGCTCTACTCGCTCCTCATCAAGGTATGCGGTAAAACACATACAAAAAGCAAATCATCATCATCATCTTTCTTTAAAACACAAAAAAGTGCTCTACAATAGAGACGTGTATCTTTAGATACCTGATAATTAAAAAACGTATATATCAAACTATTTACAAAATACTACATAATTTATACACGCAAAGAAAATTAACTTCGAATATAGTTTAAGGAGATTTTACGGCTAAACTTGGCGAAAGATTTAGCTCTAGTGAGTTTTACGGGCATGTCGTTTTATTGGATAGCGCCTCTATAGGAAAAGCTCTTTTTTAAGGATTCGGATAAGGTCTTGGAAAAAAATGTTTGTGAGTAGATTCTCGCAAGTTGCGTCCATGCATCATAATTAAACAAGTAAATTTTCAAGACAAGTAAATAGGAACAATTTTATTGACTGTTTCGTACATAAATGTGTTAAGCTGTTGAGTTCTTCTGGTTTCAAGATTGGTCCAATTCAATGATGATAAAATATCTGAGGACCTGCTATTATAATCGGTTCCGGTGATTATTCTTGCAGCTCTAATTTGTAAGCACTGTAGTTTTTGTCCAAGCTCCTTACCCACGCTATCCCAAACAATGCTTCGGCAATCAAATAGTGGCTGTATAAAGGAATTTTATATCAAGACGGGGGTTGAATGAGGTAGTAATGGCTTTAGCCTTCGCAAGACTCCAATCACCTTGGAGATTTTGGAGATTATAATAGAAACATGACACTCTTCTATCAGGTAGCGAGAAGAATTACCAGGCATTCGAAGGTTTAAGCTATTTTTAACACTCTCTATTCTCTTTCTCTTTCAGCAGAAGGAGCGGAGGCTGGCCCAGCAGAACACATTCGAGAAGCAGTAGCAGATCATCGTCAAGGTATCGAAAAAGGCTTCTTCGATTTATTTTCTATTCTACTTGACAGACATATTCACGAAGTCTGCTTGTAAAACAAGTTACATTTTACGTCTATTTCAGACGCAGATTTTGGGGTGGTGTACGTCGTTTAGGCTCTATTCGCTCCCCATCAAGGTATGCGGTAAAACACATACAAAAAAAAACATTAAACGGTGTTCCAAGCAGTACGAGGAACATTGCTCGATAGAGAGTAAGACGGCGTTTCATTGATGTATTAAGAAAGGTTGTGTTGCGACTTTCTACGGGAAAACATACGTTAACGCTTTTCTGTTCGGTGAAAAATTTCACCCTCAAAAAAAGTTCATTATGCCATGATGGCTGGCTTATCAATCAAAGATGGCTGGCTTATCATTATTGAATTATATAAGGCACGACACAAAATTTTGAAATTAAGACAACTTCTATCCTACATATTCCAATTGCGCAGCTTGATTTATGACGGGCAGAAACTCAGTGCTGTTATGACAATATTTTCATATTTTATATCACCTTTAACAGGTTCCCCAATAACATCATTTTAGCAACTAACCATTATATTCCTATACATTATACTACTAACCATTGCATTTTTGCGGCAGTCACTTATTATCGGTTTCATAAGGCAGCTCAAAATAGGAAGCGTATATATTATCACTCAAATAAACATTTAATTAATAATACGATGCGTATATAAACTGTTGGCGGAACGTAGAAAAGTCCAAGGTAAGTAATTCGATCATCAAAGCGTTGCGAAACAGCCATTCTAATGATGCAGAGGTTGGAAAACAGTAGGCAACATCCTAGGAAACGACAATTTTAAATGTTGTACTTTTGCTATATGTAATTTACAATAAAAATTAAAGGCCATTATTGCTGAAGGTTAAATGCAAATCACCATGTCGCAAATTTCTGGTAATGTATAAAAGTTCGCTTTTTAGTCTCGACCTTCGCTTGCAAAATACAAACAAGCCACTTTTGTTAAATCCTCAAGAATGTCCTATATAAAAGGCAAAGATTAGGTAGTATGTCCTATATTATTGTTTTCTATATTTTACAGTAATAAAAAGAGCATTCCTCATGACATTAAGACGAAAAGCGGCCTTACAAAGCTTTTCAACAAGAAGGTAGTGAGCGTTCAACCAGTAGAGCAGCCATTAGGAGCTCTTAACAACGGGAAAATCGGTAAGGGTTTTGTCAAACTTGCAAATAAAATGGGAATAAAAACATCCATTTCGGGACAAAAAAGTCGCGCAACTCATTCCGGCGTTGTTGTTACGACAAGCGATAAAAAGAAGTATTTGGTGCACAAAGGAAAAAAGTTTGGAAAATCAAGCCAAACAGTCGTAGTTGATGCAAAACATATGAGCAAATCTTGGGAAAATGTGGGCAAGAGCGTAAGCGGGAACGGGAACAACGTGGGCTCATTCGTTAAGGCTGGAGGGGCAGACTACAATTTATGGGGTAAGAACTGTCACGACGCAACTAAAGACATGACAAAGCTTGGGAAACGGAAGAAGCGTTCAATGTGTATCAGCGGTTAAAAATACAAGTGGCAGAAGAAATCGAAAAACTAACATGCAAACGAAAATTCGGAAAATAGCAGTTTTGTAATTAGAAATAAACCAAGCTAGAGAAGATAGAATGCATTATTCTATATAAATTAACATAATTCTGTTAATTATGTAATATCACTTCTTATACGAATTTTAACATTGTAATAATAATATTAATAATACTTATTTCAATAGCGCTTATTCCAGAATGGTCCACGAGCGCCTTACAAATTTAGATTCGATAAAATTGAGTTAACAATTTCTAGTTTACAAATTATGATATAAACCTATATAATAAATAAATAAAATCACTACATTTTCGTAAAATAGAATACAGTTACCTACTAAGTATGTTCAGCATTAAAAATATGCTCTTTTAAATAGCTCAGTTTTAAGAGCTGCTCTATATGTTCCAACAACCTCAGCTCTAACGGAAACAAGTTCCAAAGATTAGGGGCACAGACCGAAGAGGCCCTATAGCCATACGTTACGCCTGTAAGATTGGGCCTTGAGTAAAAATTTGTTTACTGGTCTAAGATTCCTTCCCGGTCTATAAAGTTCTAGAAGTTCATTTAGGTAGTCAGGTGCCACTCCGTGCCCAACCTTATAGGCATAAAAGGAAAATTTTATATTTAATACGCCACTCCACTGGTAACCATGCAGTGCAATTCCATCAACACCGGAGTAATAATGATCATAATTATTTATGAGTCCGCGACACTAGACTTGCAGCAGAGTTAAGGACGTATTGTAAGCGCTCTGTCTTATACTTGGGTAACCCATAAAAAACTGCATTACAATGATCTACTTTATAGATGTCACAAGCGCGTGAACCAGAGTCTTTGCAGTGTCCAAATTTAGAAACTCCCTTATGCGTGAAATTGCCTTAATAGAATAGAAACCTAATTTAAAAGAAAACTGGCAATGTGTCTGTTTAAGCTAACATGAAGATAAAAACTTACACCAATGTTTTTTGCATGTTCAGAGGACTTAAGTTGTACACTGGCAACTTGCATACTGTCCAGATATGGAGCACGACGGTGTTTAGCATAAAAGACTAAGATCATTTTTAACCCCTCAAATAGTGCTAATTTAATTCCAACGAGGTGTTTTTTGATCCCAATATTGGGGTTAAAGTTGTTCAAAATTTTTAATACCCTTAAAAACCCTTTCATAGGGTATTAAAATTACACCTTGAAAATAACAGTGCATCGTTAAGCTGCAGGTTATTATAGAGCGTCCATACATTTATGTCACTTAAACACGCCTCCAACTTTTTAAATCGGGGACCGCTGGGCAGTGGCGCATGGGTACAGCTGTAAAAAACTAGAGTCTAGAGATTCAGAAAGTGCATCTATTTGATACGGCATGCTGCTGTAGTATACTCAACCATGCTCCGCGCGGCTTTATATTCATGCTAATTTATTATATCATGGACACAATACCACGAAAATGTGCTTTAATTTTAAGGAAAGATCAGTTTTCTTTGATTACAAGATAGGTTAGGGTGTTTTTCAGAAATTACAACCTCTGTCGGGCACCATATGAAAGCATGTATCTTGATATCCATGAACTATGACGGTGTTTAATCAGCTTGCAAATAACGGAATGAATTGGGATTAAAATCATTGACGAATAATCGCAGAAACAATCGATACGCAGTTATATTTGTGAAGTATATTATGTAATGTAATGCAATTTGGCCGTACGTATTTTGGCATAATAAGAATATATTAATAGTTATTATCATTGACGAATAATCGCAGAAACAATCGATACACAGTTATATTTGTGAAGTATATTATGTAATGTAATGCGATTTGGCCGTATTTCGGCATAATAAGAATAGTTTAATAATTATTATACTGATGATGTAGTACGTGTTTGAACATTAACTACTCCAAACTCTTTTTCGAACAAAATTTCAACACAATATAAGTCAATAACAATTCTTTTAAGAGTTACAAATGCCTAAATATTCAAACGTTTAAAATAACCGTCACTTTCAGGAAGAGTGGGGCTGTTCTGCAAGTGATTTTATATATACTAACCTGCGTAGACGCGGTTTGTCGGAGCTGGAAAGCGGAAAGGTGAACATGGAGTCACGTTACCAACTGTGACAAACATTTACACTAGCTGCCTCCGATAATGCCATAGCAAGCGAGCTATTAAAAAAAATATATGGATAAAAATAATGCAAAAGTTATAGAAACGAAGGTAAGAGACATATTAATCATTATTAATGACCTATTCCTTAGTGTATTGGATAAATATGCTCCCATAAGGTCCGTTAAGATGAAAACGAAACCCTTACCTTTTTTTACGCAAGAAATAAGGTCATTAATTAAAGAGAGGGACTTATTGCACAGGATAGCTCGCCAAGCCTCGCAACCCAGGGACTGGCTTGTTCTTAAAGATATTAAGATCAAAGTTAAACAAGAATTACGAGTTGCAGAACAACAATATGTTCAGGAACAAATCTTATTAAATCAGAACGCACCACGTTGTATTTGCAAAATTATTCGCAGATGTATTCCTACTAAAACAAACGGTAAACCATGCTATACAAAACCTACTTCTGCATTGTGTAAAGAATTTAATAACCATTTTATATCGGTAGGAGAAACAACAGCTAAATCTGCACAGAAACTGGCAGATGACTATAGTTTAATAATGGAATCCACAGAATACACTCAACCCGAGTGCACAAGTGATTCTTCATTAACCCAGTTTTCGTTTAACCCAGTATCTTGCACCAAATTCGAACAAGTGATTAAGAATATGCCATGTAATAAAACACCGGGTTGTGATAAGATTTCTATAAATGTTCTGAAAGACTGTTATCCACATATCCTACAAACTGTAACAGGCCTTGTCAACGCTAGTTTTAGTCAAGAGGTTTTCCCACAACAGTGGAAGAAAGCAGAGGTAATACCACAATATAAAGAAGGCGATCATGAAATGGCAGGAAATAACAGACCTATCTCACTGTTACCTGTGTTGTCAAAACTTACTGAACGTGTAGCCCTGGAACAATTCTCTAACTATTTGATTGACACTGATAAGTTTACTAGTCACCAAAGCGGTAACCGCCAGTATCATTCCACTGAAACCTTGCAGCTCTTTATGACAGACCACATATATCAGTCTATAGATAGTAGGAAGGTAACAGCTGTTATATTACTTGATCTAACCAAGGCGTTTGACAGTATCAGTCACACTATCCTCTTGGAAAAACTTCGAACTTTTGGAACAAACCCTTCGGCCATTGCTTGGTTCAAAAGTTATCTTAGTGATCGTTCTCAATCGGTTAAAATAGGACAACATCTATCCAAACCTCAGTATGTTACACATGGTGTCCCTCAGGGATCAATTTTAGGCCCGTTACTGTTTAATTTATATGTAAATGAAATCAGTAGCATATGTCGGAATTGTAAAATTGAATCGTATGTGGATGATTCAAAACTTTTCTTGTCGTTCCTAATTAGTGAAGTCTCTGAAGGAATGGACAAGCTAAATGCAGATCTAAGAAGGGTGGCCGCTTGGTGCTGTTCTAACTGTCTGTTAATTAATCCAGGAAAAACTAAATTTCTGCTATTTGGTTCTAAGCAAACTCTTGCCAGAATGGATATACCAACAGTGCATTTTTTAGGAGAAGAATTAATACCAGTATCCCATGCAAAAGACTTTGGAGTAATATTAGACACGAGTCTTTCCTTTACGGAACATACGGAGAATCTCGCATCTAAACTGATGGGGTCATTGTGCCAGATTAGCAGAGTGAAACATCTTTTTGATAAGAAAACATTGACCTCAGTCATAAATTCGCTCGTTTTTAGCAAATTATACTATTGCTCGACCGTTTGGGCGGGTACATTCAAAGGCAATATAAAGAAACTACAACTGGCTCAAAATTTCGCAGCCAGGATAGTTTCTGGAAAGAGGAAGTACGATAACATATCATCTACAATTAAAGACCTTGGATGGTTATCAGTCGAAGACATGCTTGCATATCGGGACGCCCAAATGGTGTATAAGATCATAAATGGTAGAGTACCACCGTATTTATGCAATTTTTTAAAGAGACGTTCAGATGTTCACGCTCGTTGTACTCGCTATCGAAGCAATCTCGATATACCAAAATGCAATACGAGTTCAGCCCAACGATCTTTCAGATACAGAGCTATTAAACTCTGGAACACCATACCAAACGTTGTTAAAGAGAGCCAGACACTGAACTCATTTAAACGATCATTGAAGGACTGGCTCTTAAATAGATAATTTGCAGCATTTTTAATAATTTATATACTTAAGTATCATGGATTCTAATTGTTTAACTTTTTAACTATGTAAACTAGTCTTATTCTAACATGTAATTAGACCTGAAAAGCCCTGAGGGGAGGATCTAAATAAATTTGTATTGTATTGTATTGTATTGTATTGTATTGTATTGTATTGTATTGTATTGTATTGTATTGTATTGTATTGTATTGTATTGTATTGTATTGTATTGTATTGTATTGTTTATTGTATTGTATTGTATTGTATTGTATTGTATGTGTATTGTATTGTATTGTATTGTATTGTATTGTATTGTATTGTATTGTATTGTATTGTATTGTATTGTATTGTATTGTATTGTATTGTGTTGTGTTGTGTTGTGTTGTGTTGTTTGTGTTGTATTGTATTGTATTGTATTGTATTGTATTGTATTGTAGTATTTGTTTTGTATTGTATTGTATTGTATTGTATTGTATTGTAGTGTATTGTATGTATTGTATTGTATTGTATTGTATTGTATTGTATTGTATTGTATTGTATTGTATTGTATTGTATTGTATTGTATTGTATTGTATTGTATTGTATTGTATTGTATTGTAGTATTGTATTGTATGTATTGTATTGTATTGTATTGTATTGTATTGTATTGTATTGTATTGTATTGTATTGTATTGTATTGTATTGTATTGTATTGTATTGTATTGTATTGTATTGTATTGTATTGTATGTATTGTATTGTATTGTATTGTATTGTATTGTATTGTATTGTATTGTATTGTATTGTTGACATGACTCAAATAACAAACGCCTCACCAGATATAGCAATGAACAAGTCATCAAATTTGCAAATCTCCCTTTCTCCAACTTTGTCGCAAACTTGTATACACTAAAAATAGGAATAGCCATAAAATTTACCCTGATCCTTTGTATCACGAATATGTGAATATGCTCTCCCCCCCAATTATTGCTGTAAGTAAAATGATAATGCATACTCGCTGAA